CAGCATTTTAACCTGCCAGTGCCTGTTTCAAGCGATTCAGTGGAATCCGATAAAGAGTCGCGTGATACAGAAAAATCGTCTATAGATCCTTGCGAGAAGTCATTTGACAAGGTAAGAACGTATACATATAAAATCTGCTTTAAACACAAAATTCCATTGAACGAAATTCAATGCAACCATGTTAGCCGTATGGCGGCTGATATGAGTTGGTCTACTGGAAAGCCTTTAAATTACCCCTCCTTCATAGCAAATTTCGTTCCGATTTGTCAAAAATACGACGCCCCGGGTTGGCCTACTGAAACCGTTGAAGCTATAATGCACGCGGTTGCTCCTCATCTTCCAAAATGTAAAAGAGCCAACAAGAATAAGTCTAATGATGTCTTCAAAGAATGGATTAACACTTCGTGCTACCAGAATTCCGTCAAAACGCTTCCGATAGCGAGTAGGAGCCTCCTCTGCAGTACGATCGATTACAAAGTAGCCGTACTTCTTTTCAGTCGCTTCATGGCAAGCCGCCGCTAGCTGCTCATTTGTAATACCATCAGCGTGGTCAGCTGCAATTTCTCTCACGTCACGCTGGTGAAGAACTCTCATAAGCACAATACAGCCGGTGCTTCGTCGAATATACTTGAGGACGTCATAGTAGTTTTGCGCTAAGTATATGGCTGTGACATTCTTATATCAACTTGCTGAGAAATACTCTTTGATTGGGTTTAAGCTTTTTGAATCGAGCCGAATATTGTCAAAGACTACTGTCTCTGTATAAGTGTCCAACTCCTCTACTGGAATTACATCAACAGGGTCTCTTAATTCAACACATTCTTCCAGGCCGATGCTTTCGTAGAACTCTGATAGAATCAGATATTTTTCCTGGTCGCGACTTCTTGTGTAAATAGTTGATTTAGGGCAATCAAGCCAACGCATAATGATGTTAATTAAAAGGTTCGTTTTACTGGAATTAGTAGGGCCTACGAACAGATAATGGCTTTCGGGCATCATCCAATGGTGGCGCTTTGATTTTTTAGCGGTGGGTGTGTCGAAATTTATGAGTGCCATATTATATCATATCACATCAGACTAATTATAACACATCAGACTAACAGACCAATTTTTTCTGCATCTATATATAATCCTGCCAGAAAATGGAAACTGCAAGCGCACCTCCAGTCGAGCCAGTGGACGTTCCTAGGCCAGTACTACGGATATATCCTGGTTTAAAACGTGAATATGAATACCAAGGAGTAGAAGACGTTCTATCACCCCCTTCATCAATCGAAACGAGCAACTTTCGCCTTCTTCGCATTTTAAACATTGAGGCAGAGCTCCGCCAAGAGCGTGACGCTCGTCATAAGCTGCGTAAGAAATACACGCGCATTACTTGGACACTCGACACCTTATCTGCTGCATCGAGTGCCTTTACAGTCGTGACAGGAACTGGAGGAATTGCTCTCACTCTATCTGGTGTGGGCGCTCCGGCTGGGGCCGCTCTTGAAACTCTTGCTGTCGCTGGCGGGTTGATCTTAGGTGTTGGGCGTGTTCTTTGTAAAAAGTTTGATAAAAAGGCTAAACAGCACGACCACATAGCCCAAGCTGCTGCGACGAGTCTTATGATTGTTGGTAATATTACGTCAGTGACAGCCGAGTCTCACATGAAAAGTTTGAACAGGTTCTAGATCAAATGCGGCGTTTTAACCAGCGTAAACGCGTTATTCAAGGTGAAATCAACGTTCCGATGCGTAAGAAACAGGCTGCCGATGTACCTTCGCTACTCAAAGAGATTAAAAAGACAAATAAGAATTTAGAGCGTGAAAAAAAAATGGATCTGAAAAAGCAGGACCACCAGGGCCTAGAGGACCAAGAGGAGTTAAGAGAGATAAAGGTGACACAGGAGCTGAGTGGGCTCAAGGAGATACGGGTCTTCGAGGACCAAAAGGAGGGAAAGGTGATGAGGGTCCTAGAAGATATGACAGAACTGATGGGACCAATGGAAGTGATGGTGCGCCCGGGGCCACAGGAGCTCAAGGCCTTAAGGACCTCAAGGACCTCAGGGACCTCAAGGACCTCAAGGGCAACAAGGCATTAGACGTCTAACAGTTCCAAGAGGAGAGCCGGGGTCTGCAGGGCCCGCGTGACCTCGAGGGGCTCAAGAGCCTAAAGGAGATACTGGAGCCACAGGGCCTCAGGGGCCTTCAGAACCTCAAGAACCTCAAGGACAGGCAGGAGCTGATTGGCTTAAAGGAGACCAAGGAGATTAACCTGTTTTAAACTCTCCTAATGGATTTTACCCCCCAGGTATGAGCGAAGTAAATGTAACTTTAGTAACGTTTCCTACTGGAAAAACACTCGAAAATAATAAAGTAGCATTATTAAACATTTGGTTTAAACGGTCTCAAAACGAGTGGTTCAACATTAGATCTACTGTGTTTGAACAAAGTTGGGGGCCTATGTTAGTTTCGTACATGATACCACTAACAAATTGATGTCATATGTTAGTACAATACCCATTAACTGGACGCGAAGATATGAGGTTAACTATTTAGAGTATTCTTAATTCTAAAACAATAAATTTTCACTTTATATTTATAGTGTTTATCACTTCAGTTGTGTCTTGTCACACAAACATTAAAATGTCTAACGCAGATGAAACTTCGGTTCATGAATTTGAATCAACAAACGATCTCTTTCGCCGAGCCGTAGAAGTATACTTACGACAAAATAGAGAGAAAAATGTTGAAAAATTCCAACTAGAAGATAATTTTAGGCTGAAAATATAGTCATATCTTCTTGGAACTATTCAGACGTAGATAAACCTACGCGTGAAACTCTCAAATCTTTGCTTAGTCCGGTAAAAAACTACCACGCCCGTCGTGTAAAACATCATAGAAGTCTTGAAAAACACAAAAAGCGACTGGAAATTCCAGTAGTTGTGTACTTCAGTCACTGGAAAAAGAGGTTCAGATTGGACAAATGTCGCGATGTGTGAAAAAGGTGAAGATGATTCTTCTACAATGACCATCGAAAACGCTGCATTCTACAGAATATCATTAAGTGGAAAATGTTTTACAAGTGCAGGAACGTTACGAGTAATTCAAACTCCTAGCAAATTACTTGTCTTAAGTGAAACAAAACACATCGTGTTGGTCATATTAACTCTGAATTTAGCTATAGCGATTTTATAGCTGTAGACTTACCTACTGATGCAACATTAGTTGTTCAACAGATGGGAACTGCTAAAGTAATTATCACACTCACGATAGAAAGTATAATACCCGAATATTCAACGGTTGTTTGATGAAGATTTGCTACACGAAGCGCTAGATAATTCCGAAGGTCTCCTTCATTATCTAGAACTTAATAAGAACACTTCACATTTGGCAAAGGGAGTGAACCGGCCGCCGGAGTTGTCTGAGTTTAGTTTTTGGAGGAATTGCACTTAGAAACTGAAGTGCGTAATAGCGTATTAACGCTGGGTCGCTCATATTTCCATACGTAGCTTCCTTACCTACAGAATTTGTTATAACAGACAGCTTACTTTCTTTTACGTCATTAGGCTTAATAGGTCTGCGCTTACAGGGTACCAAGGAGGTTCAGGTGGAGCTGTATTCGTACGCTTTCTTGATGTAGATGCTAGTGGTTGAAAAGCTTCAAGGAATGAGTTTAGAGGTCTTCCACTTATAACACCCTGTTTATATAAATGCAGAATCTCTTTAAAAGTGTCCATCTCGATTCTATATAATATATAAATATTCTCCTTCTAATTGTATCGTACCTGTTTGTATTAGCAGCCTGGTTTGTAATTTAAGATGTTCTTCTCTTTGTCTTATTATTATATTATTCAATTTTTTCTCTCTTTCTCTTCTTTATTTTTGCTCATGTATTTTCATACGTACTCTTTTGGATTCAAATCGCGGGAGCGGGGGGGTTGCCGGCCGTCTATGGCTCCTGCCGTTGTCCTGGGTTTGACCTTCGCTGTAATTATGCTAGCATATTTACAAGAAGTACGTAAGCGAGCTAAGGCTAGGGCGCTTAGATTTGTGTATACTCCTTCTCAAACTGTGAGGTGCGCTAGAAACGACGCTTTCTCAAGGTGAAGTTCGCCAGCTGCAACGCTTTGATTTTCACAATTAACACATTTTGATTTTCTCTACATTAAGGAGGGGGAAGGGTTAGGGTAAGGGTTAAGGTTAGGTTTAACATTCCTCCTGAAGTTAGTAATCTAGCTATGGCCCTTCTAACCTAGATACACCATATTAGACAGTCTTGAGTTTATTATTGGTTGGCTTTTGTAAACTAAGAATTCTGTAAACCCAAACTTTAAAAAGCATTTTGACAGACATGCTTCCAGACCTCCTAGAATGAGTGCACCTCAATAATATTACAACAAATGTCTTGAACCAATGGATTGTAGCTTTATGAACTTATTCCAAGAACAGACAAATATGGCCGTTGTCCGATTACTCAGTAGGCTATGTAGGCTGAAGCTTACATTCCCGCGTTTTTAAAAGTCCTGTTCTCTTTAAACATAGTTTTTACTCTTTGCCATTCTAGATGAGATAAATGATCAAAATTTCAATAATATATCCTGTTTAAAACTGTACGATATACTATTATAATGCTCTATGTATAGAACTGATAAAGTAGTGAGTTTATCTCGTTCGAAATTTAAATTTATTCTATAATATTTACACTATGAGTAACAAAACTGAAGCAAAGGCAATGGAGCATAAGAAACGGAAACGTTGTCAAAAGACTGAAATTTTTGGGAGAAAGTTATATCACTTAAAATCCCACAAAATTTTCTAAGCTTACAGGCCGCGCAATTAGTCATCCGCCGCTTAGTATGGATGGTATAAACTGATAATGTTCATTCATAAATATCCTGTTAACTTTCGATGTAAGAAAATTAGGTTTTACTATTAAGAATTCACTTCCTTTAAAAACCTAAATGAGCAATATTTTTAAGAGGTACAATAAATAAGGTCAAAAAATGTATGTAAATAATGGGTAATAACGTTTTTCAGTAGATGGCATTAAATTTCTACTGGGTTTAATAAAATTTCAAATGACTTTCTTACTATTCAATTTAACGCTATTAGAGTTAGACTGGAATTTTCTATTCAGACAGAAAAAAATTTCATGTAAGCACACATTACAATGAAATTGACTTTATATTCTGAAATTGAGTATATTGCAAAACAGCATCCCCACTTCAAATGTAATTCACAGTAGTCAATAATATCCATATCTTATATGCAATGCTTGTGTTCTGTAGGTTTCCAGCCTGTGAAACATGAAACAAGCAATTTTTAACAAATAATAATAATACCTAGTAATGATTTCATTCGCTTAAAAACACTTTTTCACAAAACTCAGTCGTTTATCCTATCATAACAGAACCTTGCGAAACTGAATTTTTAACATTTTCAATTTAAATAGCCAAAGATTGCACTGAGGTACAAAATAATGGTAAGAACGAAAGTGGAGTTTATCAAATTGATCCTGATGGTAAAGGATACTTTAAGGTCCTCTGTGACATGACGTCATCGGGTGGTGGTTGGACTGTAATTCAAAGAAATAAAAAAAGTGGAAATACAGACTTCTATCTGGGTTGGGCGGAGTATAAACGTGGCTTTGGTAATCTTAAATCCGAGTTCTGGCTTGGATTGGACAAGATACATCGACTAACATCTGCAAAGAAAAATAAACTTCGAATTGATCTAGTAAACACGTCAGGCACTAAAAAATACGCTGAATATGAAGATTTTGTTGTAAAGGATGAAAATTCTAAGTATCAATTAAGTATTGGAAAATACACAGGTAAGAAAATATTGAAGAAAATGAGTGTTTGTGATAGCAAATTGCGTTGACAGATTGTACCTTAGGACCAGTTCATATGAGACGGGCCAGTCCGCTTATGCCAGGCTAGGTAGCTTTGCCGAGATCTCGCCTTGTATATTAGCTTACAATTTTTTTGAAATTGCGTTCATATGAAGAACGGGCCAGACCGGCTTGGCGAGATCCGTTTGAAGGAAGCGAGATCTCGCTTCTAACGGGCTCATATAACTGCATCAATCGGGCCAGCCTGGCTGAACTGGGCTGGAAGCGATGAGACTGCGCATGCTCTTGTCTTATTTGGTTACTTAAAGATGGCGAAAACTTCATAACAACAGCGTGCAATTGAAAATAAGTTTGAAAATTTTATGTTATACCATTACAATAGTCGGTGAATTAAACTCACTGGTAGCAACCATTTTGTTGAATGTCTGAGTCTAAATACAATTTAATTTTCGTAAAAAAATACAATATTTGTTGGCAGAAATTAAATACAACATTTCAGCCTGGCCAGCCCGCCTCGTGAATGCGAATACAAATTGGCCCGGCAAACTAGCTAGCACGGCTTAAGCGGGCTGGCCAATCTCATATGAACAATTTCTAAGGTCAAAGAAATGTATCGTCTGAAATGTCAACCGCAAGAAAGACAATATACAATACATTTGACTTTACATTTAGACAATATACAATGCATTAGCAAGATCATTTTGAAAAGCAGGATATTCAGTAACTTTAAAGACAAATTTTATGCCTCAGAAAGATAATAATTATCTGAATATTATCTATAAGCACAGCTCGTATTAATTTAGCCCGTCTAAAAAGTTACATTTTACATGTGTCAAACGCATTTAAAACAAAAGAAAATGCGATAAAATTAATCATCTACGTTTGTTTTGAATGCATTCGGCTCATGTAAATGCGACATCTGAAACAGGCCTGAGCACTTTTGCTTGCCTTTGCTCTTGTTTCTCCTATGTGTAATCCGGAAAAAGTATAACGCAAAAAAGAGCAGTTTGTTTGTAATTTTTAATGATATGAAAAGATATTTTCTTACAAAGCATGCAAAAATGTAAGCCTGTAGCAAGAAATTTATAAAATAACAAATGTATAATTCGTCCTCTTATTGGCCGATGCGTGTGCTTGAGCGTGTGCTTGAATCAGGCAAAATAAAGACTGAAATTTAAATTGCTGTGCGTTAATTTTAAACATGTCTGAGAATGAAGATGATTTATTATTATTCATATGACAACTTCTTTTGAAGTGTTGGATCGCCATATCTAAAGACTTGGGAAAGTTCTCTGGTAAAAAAGCGGTGTAAATACTCACAATGCTTTTCTTAACTTTCTTTTTATTTCTGTGTGTTTAAATCAAGCCGACAACGAAAAAAACTGTTTAGCAAATACTCTTAATATAATATATATGCATCATTAAATGCATGGAATGTTGCGTGTAAAGTTTATTGTGAATAATGACAGAATGATAGGAACAGTTTCTTTTACGTTTTCAAAATACAAATCAGCAGAAAACTATAGAGCTATTTCTACTTTTCAGGAACTGCTGGGGATGAATTATCTTATCACAATAACATGAAGTTTTCAACCAAAGATTCAGATAATGATAAATATAGTGGGGGAAATTGCGCTGATGGTGGTTGGTGGTATAATAGTTGTGAACTTTCTCAACTAAATGGTGAAAATATGTTTTGGGATGGTTTTATTAACGTGAAAACCAGTGAAATGAAAATTAAACCATGAAGACTTTTCATAAATATTTATAATTTCATGACAATGATCAGAATATCTCTCAATATGTCATGTAAAAATGTTTGTTTATGAGCAAATATAAAAAAATTGTGTTAATTTCATGAAGTAATAAAAAATGGTTTCAATCAATGAAATGGAGGAAATGTGAGTTTTTAACATGTTTATCTAAATGAAGCTGATGTCGTCAAATCATACTCAAAATAATTATATTTTTTGAGTTTTACCATGTTATTAGCTGCCTTCTTTAAAGAGATATTTTGTAATTATTATACTTTATTCTTTATGGCATGATATGGTTTCATGTTTGTAAATGTAGATCGTCCAGGTTGGTATAGTCCTGAGAAGAACTGTTTTTGTTGTTGTTTACTGACGTTTCGACAACCTAAATCTATTTGACTCTGAAGATGCCTACCGCTAAGGTTGTCAAAACGTCAGTCAACAATAACAAAACAGTCCGTCTCAGGACTATACCAACCTGGACGATCTACATTTAAAAACATGTAACGATACTCCCGGGTGCAAGCCATTTACTTTATGATATGGTTTCTCACATTTAATAAGACTTGCACGTTTATATAGTACGAGCTGCTTTTTCAAAATAAACAAATTGTAAAAACAAAGGTTTGATATCTGCTTCCACTTAAATTAAAAATTTGCTAAGAGGATCGTCATGAAATGAGCTGTATTTGCTTTATTGGCTTCTTTGTAACGTTAGATGCAAGTCATAATGAATAATAATCGTATATCTTGCACAATAAACTTTATTCTTTGTTTAGCATCCTTCCTTAGTTAAGCTCCTTTTCTTTGCAAAACCTCTTTCCTTATTCAACCTCCTTCTCTTTACAAAATCTCCTGCCTTACTTAACTTTTTTTTTGCTAAACTTTCTACTCCAGTAAACTTTATACTTTACAAAACCTCCTTCTTTACTAAATATAAATTTTACTAAATTTCTGGGAGTTGTTGCTCTGTTTGACCTTCAAATCTGACCATGTAGTTATTACCATGTAGTTTCCCCTTCTTGATTGAAAGCTGTTCCAATTATCTAATTTTCAGGAAATAATGGCTTACCTATCTATCTTTAAGCCCAATGCAGCCAAGTTTCTTAATATCTGTAGACCTGTTCAAAAAAAAACTAGATTTTTCTTCAAGTACACCAAAGAAGCTGATAAATAAAACGTTAGACTCAGTAGCATTATTATCAATGCTGATTTTTAATGTAAGTAAAATTCTCAATGATAATATATGTAACGCATTTAAATGCCTGTAAAGAAAAATCCATTTATTTGTTTTCGTCCTTAGATTTAATCAAAAAAGTAAACCGGACGATACAAAATTTAATGACTGTAATCTTTGGAAAATCTTTTCATTTCAATATCGTCAATTAAACAGAAACACATTGCGCGCTACCTAAATGATTTTCGTGATTTAAAATTAACACAAAACTTCATCCTTCTGTTAGAGATATAAAAAACGCTTCTTTTTGCTCACATCACATCCAAAATTTATTTAATGATTTTTTAATTCTTTTTTCCTTTTTGGGCTGTGGCGTAGCCAGCCCTCAATTAATTCTTTGTACGCCTTCAATTTATTCATGTTACGCCCTGAATTTATTCATGATATATGTTTGTAAATGATGATCGTCCAGGTTAATAAAGTCCTGAGAAGGACTGTTTTTGATGTTGTTGACTGACGTTTCGACAACCTTAGCGGTAGTCATCTTCAGAGTCAAATGAGGTTAGCCGTATTTGTTGTCTGGTTCTTACGTCATTGTATTGTGTGTACAGGAAATGTGCAGGAAATGTGTATTGTCATTGTGGATTAGTGTGAAGTGAAATATTTTATTTTTAGTTGTGATGTGTGATTTAGGTGTGACGTTTTTAGTTGTAGTGTGTGGGTGTCAATTGTGTATTGTCATTGTGAATTAGTTTGAAGTGTAATGTTTTTAGTTGATCGTTTGTTTGTATTGTGAATAAGTCGTTTGTAAGGTGCCGGTAATTGCTGTGATCTGTTCAGGGGGGGGTTTGTTCCAAGTTGGTATACCAACTTTCTAATGTAAGCCGTTGTCTATAGTCAGTACTGTAAGTGATGCATTTTGCCGAGTCCCAGTCAATGTTGTGCTTTGTGATTCGGTGATGTTCGGCAATGTGATTAGTTTTGTCTTGTTTCTTAGTAGCTCGTTTGTGCTCAGTAAGTCTTATGTTTAAGTTCCTGCCAGTTTCCCCGATATAGGAGGCGTGGCAGGGAGCAGTTTATTTTGTAAACTGCACCTTGTCGTTCGTTGGGTTGTTCTTTGTCCTTTATGTTCGTTAGTACTTGTCGTAATGTTGTGATTGGTTTATGTGCGACACGTATGTTGTATGGTCGTAAGATACGCGAGATAGTCTCAGACGTACCTTTGATGTAAGGTATCGTTGCTGTTGTCACTGAGTTGTTCGTTCGTTGGGTTCGTTGGGTTTGTAAGTGTTGCGTTTGATAAAGTCAGAGTTATAGTTGTTTTTGTCAAAAACACGTTTGAGATAGTTGTTTTCGTTTTGTAGAGCGTCCGGTGAATCACATATGATTTGTGCACGTCTTGTTAATGTTCTGATTGTGGTGGCTTTGTGTGATGTAGGGTTGTAAGATGATTGGTCTAGTAGTCTGTCAGTATGTGTTGGCTTGCGATAAACTGTTGTTCCTAGTTTTGATTGTCATGTTTTACCAAACAGTCGAGAAAAGGAAGAGTTCCGTTTTCTTCGACATCTTTGGTAAATTGTATGTGGCTGTTCTGTTTGTTGATGTGAGTATGGAAGTCATCAATCTCGTCTGCATGTAGTGCTGTGATTGTGTCATCTACGTAGCGAAACCAAAAAGGTAGTGCATGTTTGTAAGTCATGAGTGCCCGTTCCTCTATAGATTGCATTACAATTTCAGCAACTACAACAGAAACGGGCGAGCCCATTGCTGTCCCATGTAATTGTTTGTAGTGTGTTCCTTTGTATTGGAAGTAAGTCGAGGTGAGGCAGAGCTCTAGTAACTCCATAATGCCTTCTGTCGGTAATGGCAGTACGTCCGTGGTGTTTGTAATGAGGGTTTTTGTACAAGTAAGTGCCAGATTAAGTGGAATACTGATGAACAGTGATTTCACATCAAAAGACACTAGTATATAGTTGTCTGGTATTTGTATAGTGCACAGTTTTTTTAATGAAAGTTTCAGTGGATTGTAGCTTGTGTTTTGATTTGTTTGTTAGTGGTTGCAGTATGTTAGTCAAGTACTTTGAAAGTTCGTAAGTAGGCGAACCACAGAATGATACAATTGGTCGCATGGGTATTTGTGGTTTGTGAAGTTTTGGTAGTCCGTATAGTCTGGGTGGTCGTGGTACTGAACATCTGAGTCGATAGTAAATACGTTCAGATATAATGTTAGATTTTCTCATAGAGAAGATCTTGCTGTTAAGTTTGCGTACTAGTGATGGTGTTGGGTCTCGTTTGAGTTGTTCGTACGTTTGTCTGTCGTTAACAAGTGCGTCCATTTTGTTAAAGTAATCATTCCTGTCCATGACCACAGTCACGCGTCCTTTGTCTGCTGGTAAAATGAAGATGTTGTTGTCGTGTTTTAGTCGTTTGAGTGCTTGTTGTTCGTCTTTTGTCAAGTTGTTGTCACGTATAGAGGACGATTGTAAAGTGGAGGCTATCCTGCTTCTGATCTCGTCTTTGTTGTCTCTGACAAGTCTCTTTGATACGCTAGGACAGCCTCGACACTTGATACTATCGTTTCAGTCAGGATTTGTCTAGGTGTTATGGAATGTTTTAGTCCGTAAGATAGTAGTCGCGTTTCAGTTTCGTCTAAT